GGGGAATCAGTCACTTCCGTGCTTACCTGTACTGACGAAAATTCACCCTGGTGACTGATCATGAGCCCCTGTTGGCTCTTAAGAAGTCGAAGGATTATTCGGGCATGATCGGGCGATGGGCAACGGTGCTGCAGAGCATGGACTTTGGCATTCGTCATCGGAAGCACGAGAGACACGGCAATGCGGACGGACTGACACGACTGCACCGGCCTGAGAAGGTTCCAAAGGGTKAGGAGATAATTCCGTGGAACGAACCCGAACGGGAGATCGGACCTCGGTACGACCAAGTGGAGATCTTATCGAAGCAGTAAGTGACACGAGGACTAGTTGTTATGTTCTCATCTCCCTGCATCCCTTCCTCCTCTGCCATCATGACTACCCCACTCGCTTCCGCAACCCCTTCTTCTCCTACTGACTCTGCCCCTCTCACTTCCTCGGCCTTCTTCGCCACCCTTCYTGATAAATTCTGCTATTTTTGCACGTGTATTGCGCGAGTCTATGGGGTCGACTGTCATCCYTTCGAGACCGGATTTGTCGATTGGGTGGAATGTGCCACGTGTGTCAATCGTGCGCATGGAGCCTGCGTTCGATATCGAACGAGTAGCAAGGAATGGAAGTGCCCCTTGTGTAGAACGAACAAGCTCCCCACGGAGGTTCGATTCGAGGCCGACCGTACGAACGGTCCTGAATACGACGAGAAATACCGACGGGCGGAAGTCTGAAGGGATAAAATTTTATTGGCAAAATTAGCGGGATTATCATTGGGCCATCTCACCAAACACGACAGATTTAGGGCGACCAAGAGATCTCGGGACTATCGATGGATCAACGGTTATTTGGAAAAGCGTAAAACTGACGGATCAGGTTCGTGGCTGACAGTTCCCCATCCCTTCCAGAGATACGATTGGATCCGATCTGCTCACGAGGAAGCCGCTCATTTCGCGATACGTGTCACGGAGGCAATTGTAGACCAGAATCGATAGTTCTGGTCCAATATATGAGGTGATGTCAAATACATTGTCGCTAACTGTCCAGTCTGTGCCACTGATCGCGCCCCTATACGGGGACCAAACACAATCGTACCAACGGAAGTAGAGCGTCCTTTTCAGCGAGTCAGTATGGACACGACAGATATTGACGTGCCACCTGGCCCAAACCGCTGTGAATATTTTATTTTATTAGTATGACCACTTTTCCAAGTACATCGAGGTCTATCCCTGTAAGACCCGAAAAGCTGCAGAAATAGCCACGTACATCGAACGGTTCCTCTATACCCATCTAGATACGGAAGAAATTCTAACCGACAATGGATCTGAGTTTAAAGGTGAGGTAGAAGAACTATTTGCGCGAAGGGGCGTCACGCTCYGACATACGGCACCCCACGTGTCCCAGTCGAACGGGTTGGCCGAGAATGCCAACCGTATGATTAAAACCGCCCTTCGCAGGAACTTAGCGGC